CCAATTTTTATGTATTTTTATATAATAATTTTCGCAATAGTAATCGTTATCATATTTTTATGTAGATTTTTTAATATTGATAAATTTTTCCATTGAAATGTTTTTGTATTTGTCTTTTCAAAATTGCAATACAAACCATTTCTGCCTTGGCTGCTATTTTTGTAAAGTCATGTTTTTTTATACTGAATAAATAAAAAAATAAAAAATAAAAAAATAATTAAAATGAAAAAAATGACCAATCATCAACTTCATTGTACTCTTTTGGGAGAGGGAGTTCACAGAAAAGAGAGGATTTTTGCACTCTCTTGTAATTGATTTGTAGAAATGATGACCCCCCTCTTAATGAGAATGTCACTACTACTTGTCAATATGTCAATCATTTGATCAATTATTCATTCTACATTAAATATTCCTCTTCAAGCTTTGTTGATTTCAAGAGGGTCCTTGGCCTTCGCAGTATTTGTTAAATTGAAATAGTTTAAGCCTAATCTTCTAGGACGTTGATATTTGAATGACTTTACTAAAAATGTCACAGAATTAATACTCATTATATGCTAGTTTTTTTTGGAGATAATAGTAAGTTCAAATATACACTTAGAAATGCCAGTTTTGATCCAAAAATAAACAAAAATTAGTAATTTTTGTTCAATGCCATGGGTGACAGACACAATGGTCAGACACAATCTAGTCAACAAACATTGTTCGATCGGACAATATCTGATGTCTACACCCAGCTTAAAGCTCTCTATTGAGTTTAATGTGACATACTGTATACAATACTCTGTTTGATTTGCCTACTCCTAAGTATACTTTACTGTATGGACATGATAATACAGTATATATAAGTGCAAATCTTCGGTATTTATTTAAACCATAAAACATATACTGTACTGTAATATGAACAGAATTTTAGATATTTTTATTCCAACATTTTAAGAGTATTCTTCTTATTATTCTTTTATTGCCAAAAACATCACAAAAAACATACACAGATGACATCCAACTGGGGGAGTAGGCAGGAAACACTAATCTCTGTAACACAACGTCAGTGTTTCCCACTCACCTAGTCTCGCATATAAATATTTAAAATTGATTAAAATAAACTTAGAGCATTTTCATAATAAAGATTATGAAGTTGACCTGGATTCTTCGATTCACTCAACCCCTTTTGCTGGAATTTGGTCCTCTATACAGTTCACTAACATACTGTACCCCTCAGCACAATGATGTTTTAACTTGAGATACAGTAATCTCTACAGTACATTTAAACACTCTACCATACCTACTAGATGTGCCTTGCTAAATTACAGTAGTATCGAAATAAAACCAGCTATTTCAATTCGACATAACATTGTAACATAATAATCTGGTTCGTAATTTCTTGTATTCATTAAACTATGTCGTACAGATTTTTTCTGCCATTAATAAAATGAAGCCACTAGTGTTTTTGTGACAGTCCCTGGTGATCATGTGATAGAGAGTTTTGATCATTCCGTCATTCATCATTTAATATCTTTGTCTTCTGTCATGAAGCTCTCCATTTTCTTGCATTGTTGGCTTCTTTAGGTGTCATGACGTTTTCATGCAGTGCCAATTGTTATATTAGGTTTCAGTAAAAGAAGACCTTCCTAATTACTTGGTTAGTTTAAATTAGTTCTTCTCTGATCAAACTTGGCTATAACCATCTTCGCATACTCTTTATATCAGTATCTCCGTGCAATTTGAGGTCACTTAGAATAGGTCATATTTGAAATAGTGAAACACTTACGGTCCAGTCTGAATATAGTGTTCAAATTGTTAGTACATGTTGGTAATTACCCTACAGTACAGTATCTGTCGGATTCCGTAAATAAAAAAAACCTGAAAACATTGAGATCTCCGTGTTTGGTGTTCAAGCGTTGCGTTACCACACACGGAGATGTCAGTGTTAATATGAGTGTTAATGTAAACTTACAGTACTTCTTTTCCTCTACTTGTACTATTGTAGCAGTCTTAACAAATGTCCATGCTACTACTAAAGACCTTATTTTATTAAAATAGTTAGTCCAACTATATACCTGGCCATTTTGATTTGTGTAATAACATGTTACAAATTAGGTTTCTACTGTATAAAATGTATTTACTCTTAAATTCCATTGTCTGTGCATGGTACAGTAGTAAGTGCTCAGAGTATAACTGAGATACTTGTGATGTAAGCATTAGAAAATCTTAACATGATTCCTTCAGCTAATATTTTAAAAGGTCGTTGTGCACATCTATATGTAAATGAGGTATGTGCGCTACTTTGTAGTCGACCACTGAGACAATGAACTCAGGATTTTAAATGAGAATGTATGCAGACCCACCTTCAGATATCACATGTGGGACTACCACATTAAACTTGCAACTTGATATAAAATGCTATGTATAGTAATTCAATTGTAATATTACAGTACTTGGTCTGTGAACACTATTTAAGTTTTGCATACACACTATCAAATTTTATGTGACACAAAAAAAGTATTTGGGTGTAATGTAAGTCAGTATGTACCAAAAACGCAATGAGTATTGCTTTAGATTAGCTGACATTAACAATTCCTTAACATTTCTACCTGAATTCATAATTTAAAAAATATATATTTTGAGCTCTTTAAAGAAAAGTCCTGGACCTGTTTCGTTTGTTTCCTTACTTCTACATCATTACATATAGGCGGCCTTTCCAAGGCAAATCAACGTAACTTATGAACAATATAACAGTTACGTTGTTTTGCAGTGGGATGGCCATAGAATGATATTTTACCAAAATGACTGCATACTGTAGGAACAACGGCCCTGCAGAGGTCTGGTTTTTTTTAAGATCAGAAGCAGAGATGTTCGCCCATTGTACCTGTTGACTTGGACAATGTAAAACTGATATCCAGCGGATTTTTTAATGAGTGCTTATTGTTGTTCGATCAAAGAAATTTTGTCTTTCCATGTCTGTTATGGCAGAAAAGTGTCGTAATAAACCCTGGCAGCAATTAGTACGAAATTTTCTTTTTTCTTCAAACAGTTGTCCCCCACGAACATTTCTTCCGGCTTTGTGCAAAATCTTTTTGGATGAACAAGCACCCGATAATGTACTTGAAGTTACAGCCCGTGCTATCACCTACTACCTAGATGTTTCGGCTGAGTGCACACGACGAATCATTGCGGTGGATGGCGCTGTCAAAGCCATCTGTAATCGCTTGGTTGTTGCTGAGCTCTCGTCTAGGACTAGTCGGGATCTATCTGAGCAATGTATCAAGGTATGTACTATTATTTATTTGATACAGATGACTATGAATTTTTTTTCCTAAAAAATAGTGGCATATTTAGGAGTATTAGCATGTATGAGGGTGATGGGTGTGCGAAGGTTAAATGGGAGCATAAACATTGAAGATTAATGGGGGTGCTTGTTTAAAAAATATATGACTCATTTTATGAGGAGACCTTGCTGCTGACAACCCAAACAAATGTCCAGACAATTTGCTGTAACCCCCTTCCTAGGATGTTAAAAAACAATGTCGACAAAATTGAAGTACAATGTTTAAATTATACTTAGAATGCGCTATCTTTGCCACAGCAAATTTGAGCATGATTGATGTTGAATTCAATTTTTTAAAAATCCTAAATATCTCACAACCCTCTAATTTATTTGGAGACCAAATTTTGGGTCGCATAGTTTGAGAACTGCTGCTCTACAGTCAGTGTTGTCATTAACAGGGGCGGATTTAGGGGTGCAGGCCGGCCTGGCCACGCTCCCTACCACCTCCCCCCCTCCAAGCTAGATATGCTAACAGCTAGAAAGAACATGACAGAAAGGGCCATAAAACAACATACAGATGTTTGAATAAGAGTTAAAATAATATTTTGTTAATTGGTATAATACCAGCGATTAAAATAATTTGGTTTTTATCACACTGCTGCACTCTCGGTTCGTGCTTGCCTGGCTACCGTCAGCCTATTGGCGCTCAGTGGCAGAGGATAGCTAAGCCTAGGTATTGGAAGCTGACACCCGATCTACTGTACTTTACAAATTTTCCAATTTAAGAGCACCCCTTGGTAGCAAGAGGGGTACGTAAAATGGACGTTTTACTGTACAGTATTTGATTTTTTGAATTATTTATTATTGCTATCAACGATAACATATGAACAATACGATGATGAATTCTATAATTCATTGTTCAATGAATTCAAGGACACTAAAGGCTATCATACAGTCTCCTGGTTTGACAATCACACCATGGACCATATAGTAACATACTTGACAGTTGTGTTCCTTTAAGCCTGGCACTCACAGCTTCATACAACCATCGCACAACAAATCCCACTCCACTCGCTGTGAGCGCTAGACCACGCGAGGCCGTCTACTGATTATCGGTGGTCATCTGAATGGATTGTCATTAAAAACGATCCATTGCACGTGCGTCGTGTTGCGTTCTTTAGAATCACAAAATCATAAGATGAATCTTTATGATTGGCTTATGGCTTAGCCTATTGTTTATCAATCTCTTCAGTAATACAGGAGAGGGGAGATGTCTTTAATGGTTGGATTATGCTTGCTTTAGTGTAATAAGCTTGCGTTAATTCACATGTGAATAAATAAGTGCTACAGTTGTCATGCTGACGTTTTAAGGTCACTATTGTCGTCAACATCTTCAATTCAACATCATCATACATTATCATCATCAACCAAAACTTATGATCGTTGTTGTCATCATTGTTATCATAATCATCATCATCTTCTTCATCATCTTTAGCATCAGGTCACCGTATTCTATCATCACCATCATCGTAATTATCATCAACATCACTGTTACCATCAACATCTTCACCGTCACGATAAATATTATCCGCGGTGCCGCCGTCGTTGTCGATTTGATAATATTCATCATTGGTCATTATCTTTAAAGGATTATCATCATCAACACAATCCTAAATCATCGTCATAATCATTGATAACTTTCATTATCATCATGATCATTGTCATCATTAATGCGGTAGGATATTATTTTTTTATTTTTTTATGTATAAATACTCAGTATTTATGTTGAGTATACATGCACTCATTGCTATCAACTACTGTACACCATTTGGATTTTATATTACAGTTCATATTTAATGTTGAATGAATTTAATTCAATTTACAAAATTATAATTTTATTAAAATTATATCTGTTGATGCGCCACTACTGTAGCAGCTTTCTGAGAAGTGTTCATGTTTAATCTGTGATATAGAAAGTAAATGATATATGTGTTCTCAATTATAGAAAATGTTAAATATAAATTAAGATGGTTGATATGATGGACAAAGATAAGCATTGTATTGACAATGATGTATTTTTAGAAAAAATATAATGAAGATAATCAGGATGATAAATATGCCTTATGTGAATGAATATTAAATTAAATAATTATGATAAATATTATATAATCAAAATATTTCCTAATAGAAAATTGTTCAGTATATATGAAAATGATTGATATGATGGACAAAGATAAACATTGTATTGATAGTAATGAATTTTTATTATACAAAATGAAGATGATCGTGATGATAAATTTGCCTTAGCAGGAGAATGAATATATATTCAAATAATTAGAATAAATGTACTGTACAGTGTAAGAATATTTTATTTTTAGATTGTAATGCACATTTTTATCATTAGCTAAATATGGTAATTGAGAGTGGGATATATGAAGGTCATCTCTGACCTTCATATATGACTCAAAAACAACATACAACAGTACATACAGTTGCTTTTGAATTGCTGACAGGCTGTACATACACGGCTAAATGTGTAATTTCATGTTTTTAATTAAAAAAGTACTGAAAAAGTAAATATTCATTTAATAGATTACTGTAACAGAGATTTATAAAGTGTCAATTCCAAGTTTATTAATATAAAATATTTTCAAATGTATATCTTACCACTCTGACAGCCAGGGTTTGAAAAAAAATTGTATCAGCCACCGGCAGACATTTTAGCGAATTGAAACTCTTCCAAATCTCATTGAGAGTACGTATATGATCAGATTGACATGTAATGAATATAAAGAACTACAAACATCTTAGCTTTACAATGGTACCAAACACTTTATTATAATCACAATCTGTGATCCGTAACAGTAAAATGAAATGACTCGCTTTTGGAGATTTACGCAATTCTGAACAACGAAGCTAAGATAATCGCGATTTTTAGTGAAAGTATGTCAATACCGCTACGCTCGATGTAAACAAACAAATAGTGAAATACTTACGGTCCAGACTGAATATAGTGTTCAAATTGTTAGTACATGTCAGTAATTACCCCATCTATCGGATTCAGTAAAAAAGCCTGAAACACGGAGATCTCTGTTTTAGGCGGTCAGGCGTTGCGCTACCAAACACAGTGTTAGGCAGTCAAGCGTTGCATTACCAAACACAGAGATATCCGTGTTTGGCCGGCAGAGTGTTAACAATATAACAAATCAATAAGTTCTTGTGTAAAAACTTGGAAAATATAACCAGATGAATAGACTATATTCTACATGATATTACCTTAAAATATTTATAAACAAATAATAATAGATTTATAAGTATATAAAATGTAAACAAATTAAAAATAGTTTAACAGGGGCGGAACCACGATGTTACTGCCTGGATAAGCATTTATTTGACCATTTTCTTGATCTTTCAAAATGATATAAAAATCACAGTTTTGTCCAAAAATTTAGTTTATAAAGTTCTGTCCAGAATATAAAATTTTATTTGACAAAAACATGTGACATGCCTAAATATGGTCATGACGACATCACATCATCACCGTTTTAGGCACATCATCAATTTTTTAATCTGGAAAATTTGATAATCTGGATTGACAGTAGCTTAACTGGAATGTTACTGCCTCGATGAGCGTTTAGGCCCTATAAAAAATATTATTAGTTTATCACCCTATCTGGGCAGGAAAAGTGATGAGGGAGGGAGGTTTTTTTTTTTTTAATTTTTAATTTTGCTTATTAGCCAAAGATCACCCTTGGGTTGTTTGCTGATGCATAGATATTTAAAGTAAAACATGATTTAGATAATGCAAACAATATCTACTAACTATTTAATAAAATAAATGAAAAAAATAAATTTAAAAAAATTTCAAAATTTTTTTTTTTTCCAGTACCATAAAATAAATGCGCGCGAGGGTGATAAACTAATAATTTTTTTATTGGGCCTTACTACATCATTCCTTTGATCTTCCACTGATAAAATTCTATATAAAATATTTAAAATAAACAATTTTGTCAAAAAAAAAAAAATTGGTTTTAGATCTTTTAATAATCCTTCATGTGAGTCTAAATGTTTTTGTTTGAAGCGTAAACAGGAAACAGGAAGCAAACTTTGTAACATTTTCCCAGACGACCCTTAATTGGTGTTTGCTTTACACATTGGTGTAGGCTGAATACAAAGAAACAGCTGATTGTCATGCCAATAAAACTTACAGTTCAGGATATGATTACAATACCCTTGTTTCCATCTACCTTTAGTCTTGAGTTCCAGATCACTAGCTACATACCTCCATGCTGTAATGTAGAACCATGGAGTTATTGTATAACAAATGAGGAATGTTTAACAAGGAAAACTACTATGTAACAGGAAGGGTATTTAAATTAAACAAAACCTATGAACAAAGACACACCAGCTAAATTTGTTTGCAGTGGGGATAAAGGAAAGTGTCCCACAACAGCGGGGATATCTTTGTTTGAAGCTTTTTATTATTTCATTGTTTTAAACAGAAATGTGTTTCCTGATTTAAAGTTTATTTTTATAAAATTTAAAGGGAATAAGACCTAACTTATTATTTGACCTGTTGTCACATTATGTTTCCCCTTAACAATGCTTAAGACATGTTATTATTTAAAAATTAATTCTATAACAACTCAAAATTTGAACAAATTAAACCCTGTGCAGTCTACAGTAAATTTTGTTAAAAAATAGTTGTTTGTATTTGTTCACTTTAAACAGTTTTATATTTTTTATATTCCATGTTTTAATTTTTACTGTGATACACTCATGTAATTCAGCTCTGTGGTGCAAGATGTGTTTTAATGAATATAATTTAAATTAATTAATTCATCTGTTTTGCTACCTAAAATATCATGAAGATACACATTTCATATTCAAGTGAAAGTTCATAAAAATTGAATAACAAAAGAAGAATATATAAACAATGATAACATTTCTTATTATTAGTATTTCTATTAATTAGGTTTGTTTATGGTAGTAATATATTGTTGATAGTAATTAATATTATAAACAATCATTTTAAAGATATCTTTTGAGAAGGAAATCCTGTGTCTTTCTTTAGTTCTAATATAATTCTGTACTTTCTAATTTTATAGTTATATTTTAGTTCAATTTTTCTTTTCAATTTATCAGTATGTGTTATAATAATATTTATTTGGCAATCATCAAGAACAGTTATACAGTAGCCTGTAGCGAGAATAGGCACAAGCCCAAACAGATACTGCACTCACTCCACCTTATAAATAAAAGAACTGTATACCAATCAAGATTTTTAATTAAACAAAAACAAAAATAAAAGCAGGAGACCAAAAATTACAAAGAAAATACAATTAAAGTACAACTATAATATAATGAAATGTAGTACTTACTTAGAGCAGATTTAAAAGATAAGATTGATGAAGAATTTTGAATTACAGGTGGTAATTGTTCCCATAACCTAGAGAAAGATACAAAAAACAGAATTTAGAAATAAACATGGTGTTTTTTATATCCATTGTTTAAAAGTTTATATTGCTACTATAGATTGAATTAAAATCAATTAGACCTTGAAATAATAATAATATTTTCAGTTCTGTCCAGGCTATCTGATTTAATGTGACAAATGTGTTGTCCATATTTGGGTGTAATATTACATCACACAAACTTGTCACATACGGTTTGATACTAATAGTGCTTACAGAGAGAGATTAATAAATTTCTTTTTTGTTTTAATTTAATATTAAAAACAGAGGTTCCTCACAGGACACAGCCTTAGCATCGAGTAGAAATACCCTAAAATATTAAATGGATGCCCAATGGGCTTAATCTTGAAAAGAAGCCCATCTCGAATTGAAGACTATCTTTGGTTTGAAAAAGTAGCCTCGAAAAGAAGCCAATGAGCTCCTTTTCCAGATAGCATATGTGGCAAAGACAAGCCAAACCAGTCACTCGTCGCAAAAAATCGATTTTGAGTTATTAATACAGTGTTAAGAGAGAGTAATATAATAGCTATAAAATGGTAAAAAAATCATTCAAATCGGACATTTCCTTATGAAGTTACAAGCGTTTAACCACACAGCTGTTTAAAGAACAATATATGAGAAATCAGCCTTCAAAGATTATGATTTCAGGCATTCCTCATGCAGAAACTATCTTTGAATCCTTAAAAAGCATTGTTTTAACATTGAAAATGGGGAAGATGACAGCATAGAATGATGTGTAGATATATAAAGGTTAGTTTAGTGCAATAAAATAGATTTTTTAAAATTTGACATTCCAGCATGTTTTGGCTATTTTCTCTGAAACACGATTTGCGACGAGTGACTGGTTTGGCTTGTCTTTGCCACATATGCTTTTTTGAGATAGTACAGTACATGAATTTCAAAGAAACAAAATAAATTAAACACAAGCTTGGTTGACACAGTAGTTTAGGTGATTTAATGCTGTTATAATGCTCTTCATCATACACACTGATGTTACAGTGACCCTATTTATTGTTTTATACTGTAGTAGTAAATTCCCAAAAATTTACAGTATTCATTTTAAAAAGAAGCTCCCCTTCTTTACTTTACAAAAGTAGCCTTGAAAAGAAGCCCATCTCGCAAAGAAGCCCATCCAAAGATCCCCCCCCCCCCCCACG